CCCCGGCCACCACCTGCCCCAGCACCTGCGCACCGCCAGCAAGAACGAGGTGACTGTCTGAGGCCGGGCCCCTCGCCCGCCGCGCAGGGACGCACCTCCTCCGGGGCTCACGGACAAGGGCCCCCCGCCGCGACGTCCTCGGCAGGAACCCGCCCGCGAGGTCCTCCTGGCGACCACGCGCGCTGCGAGGGCATCAGAGGGACAAAGCTTCCCGCCCGCGGGGTCTCGGCGGAGGAAGAGGCCGCGCCTGTGCTCCGTGATGTCGCCCGTACGTTCTCCGCAGAGACGGCTTCCTTCCTGTGACGTCACGCGGAGCCCCTGCTCAGCCTATGACGTCATCCCAGCGCCGAGGCCCCGTGGCGGCGGCGTCGCAGGGAAAGCTTTTCTCCCGTGTCTTCACAGCGGAGAGGCCGCCTCTGTCCCATGAGGGCATCGCTACGGACAAAGCCATCTTCCTGGACGCGGGCACCTGCTCGCTGGCTGCGTTTTCCCTAGAGACGAGGGTTCTCGCCACGCCGCCATGGCCAGAGAAGGTGCCTTGCCCTGCGCCACCAGAGGGGCCGCGCCTGTCCCCGCAGCCTCTGAGGGGACATGTCCTGGGGAGGCGGGCATGCCCTGTCAGGGCCACCCAGGAAGGTGCCGTCTGGGGATGTCAGCGCTGGGGGGCCCCCACCGGGAGAGCGCCCCTGCAGAGACCAGCCCCCACTGCTGTCACGGCCCACCGCTTCCTCGGAGGCAGGGCACACTCCGGACGGCCACCACCGGGCAGGCTCAGAGTCCGCCGTGGTCCGCCATGGCACACTCGGTCGCCCCCCTCCCCTCCCCCAGGGACGTGCCCACCAGGATCTCCGCTAGCCCCCAAGGCTCTGCCTGTTGAGTGCTCCTGGGGCTCTGTACTACCGGGCGGCCTTCGGCTCCCCGACGCTCCTGGAGTCCAGGGACTCACAGGTGGCCCAGAGGTTGGTGACGCTCCTGTCATATCTGGGGACATCGTTGCCTCTGTTAGCAAAGTCTTACACCCCGGTTGACCTGGCCAATGACACCGTCAGCGCCACATGACGTCTGTCAGTCACATCTGTCAGTGGTCTGATGAGGGCGCTATTCACAGGCTTCCGGGGACCTCCCGCGGCGGTGGCGCCACCGTTTCCCGGGACTTAGAGAGTAACAGGCTCATTACCCCCGAGGCCCCACACTCAACGGTTTGTTACTGTTGGCCATGATTCCTCAGCCACAGCCATGGTGTCCTCACTCGGGTCCTCCACAGCTGCCGGTGTCATCACCACCTGGAGCCCACCTGGCCTGTGATGATCCCTTCCAGAACCCACTGCCACCCACTGGGCTGAGAGGTTACCACTTCCCATAGCCCCATAGCTATGTCATCATCTCCCAAGATCCATGACAGTCACAGAGTCATCACCTCCCAGGACCCACTTCAACCATGGTGTCTTGACCTCCCAGGATCCATAACACCCAATAGTGTCATCGTCACCTACAAGGATCCACAAGAGTCATGGTGCCATCACCTCCCGAGGCCCACTTGAACCATGTGTCTCCTGTCCCAGGATCCATCATGGTTGTGGTGTCATCACATCCCAAATCCCACTTCACCCATGGTCCTTCACGTCCCAGGATCCATGAGAACCAATGGTGTCTTCAACACTCAGGACCCATGTCAACCATGTCCCATCACCTCCCAAGACCCACCTCAGTCATGGTGTCATCCCCTCCCATGGTCCATGAGAGCCAGCAATGGTGTCTTCATCTGGAGTCCACTAACCATGCGGTCACCCTCCCAGGATCCATGACCACTGAGCGTGTTATCCTTTCCCAGAGTCCCCTAACCATGCGGTCACCCTCCCAGGATCCATGACCACCGAGCGTGTTATCCTTCCCCAGAGTCCACTAACCATGCGGTCACCCTCCCAGGATCCATGACCACTGAGCGTGTTATCCTTTCCCAGAGTCCCCTAACCATGCGGTCACCCTCCCAGGATCCATGACCACCGAGCGTGTTATCCTTCCCAGAGTCCACTAACCATGCGGTCACCCTCCCAGGATCCATGACCACCGAGCGTGTTATCCTTCCCCAGAGTCCACTAACCATGCAGTCACCCTCCCAGGATCCATGACCACCGAGCGTGTTATCCTTCCCCAGAGTCCATTTCAACCACGGTGTCACCCCTCCCAGGAGGATTCCAGGACTCGTAGGGGCCATGATGGGCTGTCCTTGGGGGCCCCCATGGCACTCACCGTTGTTGCCTGGGGGACCAGCACGACGTGCCATTTCCCATTCCCTCGGGTGGACGCAGTGAGGTCAGCTGTCCCCGTCTGATGCCGTCACTGTCTCACTCCTCACAGACTCAGCCTTGGCCACCCCCCTTCAGCCCTGGTGAGGGCCTCCAGCCCTTGGGTGACACCACTGCCTCTTGCCCAGCCATCTGACCGGTGACAGGGCTACCTGGTGGCCTCACGTCATGGCTTCCTGGCCTTGGATGACCACTGCCCTTGCCCAGTTCCCGTCTCCTGGACCCCCCGCCAGCTGGCTCTCCTCAGAGCCCCCAGGCCCTGTGCATGGCCCAAGAGCTGCTGACGGCCTGGCCTCCCATGCAGCCTTCTGCCGGCGGGTCCTGGGGCAGGTGCCTGGAGAGCGAGGGTCCCTGCCGGCCATCCGCGGGGCTGGGTGCTCCTCCATCTCTCTTCCTAACACGTGGGGAGCCCCAGGGGCACCAGGGGTCCCCGACACCAATGCACAACCCGCCCCAGCTCTCTCTGTACATAGCCATGTTGTGGGGCGGCCATTTCCCACTCTTAAAGGGCTACATGTCCTCCCCCAGCCCCCTGGGCAAGGTGGGGGGCTCTTCTCCCTCTCCTGGGCCGTCCCCCTCCCTCTTATGTCTCCCCTAAACATGAGCGCCTCCGCTCATCCCTCTGGTCAGGGACCGGGGCAGGTAATGGAGTGTGGTCCCCCCACCTGCCCAGGGCCGGCTGCGCTCAGGCGGACTGTGACTTCCCAGAGAGGAGCCCGCTCGAGCACAGGGCCCCCGCTGCCCTCCCCACCCGACACCCAGCTTTCCCAGTCCCCCAGACTTGGGAGTTTGGGGCTTCCCAGCGTTGGTGCGTCCCTCAACTGGCTTTCTCCAGCCTGGACGCCAGGACTCTCCCAGCCCCCACTCGCCCTCACTCGCACAGGCTGCCTGACCCGGGCCCTGACCTCTTACCGGATAAGCCATAGAGGGGAGAGGTCTCCAGGGTGGGACCCGGCTCGCCCTGCCAGTGGCCCCTCGATGCTTCCGAAGCTGGGACCTTGCCACCTGAGTCTTCCCTGGCCCCAACAGCCACACAGACAGGAGTGTGCACACGCGCGTGCACGGCACAGACACGCCCTTCTGGGGACCTGGACAGGGTCCCTAAGGAGAAGAGCAGTTCTGGACCAGAAGACTGCCCGCAGCGGCCGCCCCCTCCCCCAGCCCTGGTGAGACCAGCTGAGGAGATGCCACTTGGTATTTTTTTAAATAAACCACATTTTCCTGATCCATGGTCTCGAGGTTTAATGCTGGGAGAGAGTGGCTCTCTACCCACCTGCTTGGGGTCCCTGGGGGCCTCCAGCATGTGGCCGAGTGCAGCGAGGCCAAGGACAGAGGCGGCTTGCCAGGCCAGGCTCCGGGGCCTTCCCTGGGGCTTGGGGTGGCCCCTGCCTTGTCCACCGCCAGGCTGAAGGCTCAGGGAGTGGGGGAGACCCCAAAAGATGCTTTCAGTTTTGGTTTCTTCTAAGACAGCCCTGTCCCTCTGAGCCCTCTGTGTCCTCAGATTCTAGAGGTGTGTCACAGGGTCTAGAGGTGTTTCATGGGGTCCAGAGGTGTGTCTGTGCAGTCCAGAGGCATGATGCGGAGTGTAGAGGCATGTTGCAGGGTGTAGAGGCGTGTCGCGGGGTGTAGGGGCGTGTCGGGTGTAGAGGCGTGTCACGGGGTGTAGGCGTGTCACGGCGTGTAGGGGCGTGTCGTGGGGTCTGGAGGACCTCCTGTGTTGGAGCTCCTTGCCGAGTACTGTCTGAATATGGGGGCGGGCCCTTCTCCTGGGCGGCAGACCGGGAGGCCTGAGCAGTGGTGAGCAGGCCCGCAGCTGGGTCTGTGATGGGCTGTCAGGGCCAGCTCTGTCTGGGGCCCTCCCAGCCCCCGGGTTTGCTCACAGCCTCTGGGGTTCCTGGGCTTCCAGTTGCGGCTCTTCCACGTGTCCCCAGGGCCACCAAGGAGACGAGCCCAGGCATCCCGCGAAGCTTGGCGCCTGCTGGTTGTGCAGACCCGTGGTGCCGGGAGAAGGTCCTCCCTGAAGACAGCATCCCCACTCGCTTATTCACAAAGACCCTGTCTCCAGGAGGGGCCACATCGCATCTTTTTGAGGGACACAGTTCAACCCATAGCTGGGCGTGGCTTGGTGCAGACCATGGAGCTGTCCAGGTCTTGTTGGTTCTGTTCTCTGTTTAGAGAACATTTTTGCTACAGGGCATATGCACTCACCAGAGAGAGAGACAGAGAGACAGAAAGAGAGAAATCACCCCCAGGGGGGATGGCCACGCCGCAGTCCTTTCTCCTCCATTCTCCTGGCCGGATCTTGGGCACGCACGCACACACACCCGGCGTGAGTTTGAAACCACTGGGTCCGGGACTCGAACTGCAGTTGACTACGTGAGGGTCCGGTGACTAACCATTATGCCACCTGCTGCCCCCTGTTGTTTTTTGTAATCATTCTTTTCTCCATGGTGGAGCGCATGCTCGATGGGGCACGGTCCCACCCCCATGTCCCAGGCCTCCAGCTCGGCAGGTCGGGGGTGCTGCACATTCCCAGCGTGTTTCTGACCAACTGACGGGCCAGGGGCTCCACTCACTGCCGCCACACGCCGCCCGGCTTCCCTGGAGCAGGGCAGCCCGCACGCTCACCGAGCTGGGAGCTGGCTGCAAGTACCCGTTCCCGGATAAGCAGGAAGCCCTTCTCCACAGGCCCCCACCCGCCGGGGCGCTGCAGTGTTCTCGCAGCGCTGAGCTGCCCTGCCCCAGCACAGCTGAGGCCCGCGCCTCCCAGGATCCACTTAGAGACTTCAGGAAATCCCCGCCCACGTGCAGGTGTCGACTCTGAATGGCAGGCTTTCTCATTGCAGCAAGAGCGCGGGCACGTGGCACTCTGGAGAGACTCCGACACGGGTAGAAACAGCTGCTGGGGTGGGCAAGCCAGGGTGACCGGGCATAGGGCCCACTCCCCGCGCCCCCAGGGCCTCCAAGGGACCAAGTTCCATTTTCTTTTCTGTTATGCCAGCTCACAAATCCATTCCACAGAATGGAGCGAACAGCACAAGCCAGGCCTCCGTCCTCGTCCTCGGGGAGTAAGTGGACCCACAGACGTCCCCGTGTTCTGCAACCCTCACGACTGGGCATCTGCTCCTGCCGGCCTGAGGAGCAGCGGTAGGGGAAGGAGAGGCCAGGAGACAGCAAAACGAAGATCTCCTGGTTCCTGGCACTCAAAGTCAAAGGCTGTTTGCTTTAACTGTTTGTTTTTTTCCAGAAATTTTCTCATACAAATACAAATTTTTTGGAGAGGTTTTTGCTACAGGGCACGTGCACTTACCAGACAGACAGAGAGAGACAGAGAGACAGAAAGCGAGAAATCACCCCCAGGGGGGGATGGCCACGCCACGATCCCTTCTCCTCCATTCTCCTCTCGGGATTTTGGGCACACATGCACACGCGCCCAGTGTGAGTTCAAGCCACTGGGTCCGGGACTTGAACTGCCATCAACTACATGGGAGTCCGGAGACATAGCCATCATGCCAACTGCTGGTCCCCATACAAATACATTTTGTCAGCAGCCTCTCTGTATACAGGCCGCTCTGTCACCTGCTATTCTCATTGAATAGCACAAGTATATGTCACACAGGGATTCGCCTTACACGCACCCAGCTACATGTCCCTGGTGGAGGGGGAGAGAGAGAGGAACCGAGTGGTGCAAGTCAGCTGTGAAAGAGAGAGCGAGGGACCAGCAGGTGGCCTGGAGGTTAAGGCACTGGATCTCACATAGCCAACTGTGTGGTTCGGGGCCTAGACCTGGTGACTTAAAAACCACGGCAGGCGCGTGTGCGTGCGTGCCCAAAATCCTGAGCGGAGACTGCAGAAGGAAAACCCTGAGGGGTGATTTCCCGCTCTCTCTCTCTCTCTTCTGGTGAGCACACATGCCCTTTGGCAAAAACTAAAGAGAATGAGAGTGCCTGTGCGTGGCCTGGTGTGGGGCAGCCTCCGCTGCACTCCTTGTGGAGTAAGTGGTTTTGGCCTGGAGACTCGACGCCTGCTCAGCTTGCGGTTTACACGGCAGTCCACGCACTCGGGCCGCTCATCCGGACCCACGTTCGGGGTGGGCTGTGGGCTTCCAAAGCTGCGCCAGGTGCTGTGTGGCTGTGCTTCGTAATCTCACTCCTTTGAATTTTATATTTTGAAATAACCTTAAACTTACAGAACAGTTACAAAAATAAGTCCAAACTCCTGTAGGGTTTTCCTGCTCCCCAGTTAACATTCCATACTCTGTTTCATGGGTTTCCTTTTTTTCCCTCTTACCCCAGTTCCTGCAGTCACCACTTTTTTTCTTTTAATGTCTCTTGCCAGGAGAGCATACATTTGCTGGAGACAGAGAGAGAACGCGGAAGCAATAAAGCAGGCCCTATGGGGCGCGGTCACACCGCAATCCCTCCTCCTCTGTTTCCCCAGGAGAGCATACATTTGCTGGAGACAGAGAAAGAACGCGGAAGCAATAAAGCAGACCCTATGGGGCGTGGTCACACCGCAATCCCTCCTCCCCCGTTTCTCCCTTTCAGGATTTTGGGCACACATGTACACGTGCCCAGCAAGGTTTTTCCAACAGCTAGTCTGGGACTCAAACCACGCCGTCAGCCATGTGGAATCTAGCTGCTTTAACCACCATGCCACCTGCTGGCCACTCTCCCTCCCTTAAAAAAAATGACAGAGAATACGTGCACTCACCAGAGACAGAAACAGGGGAGAGAGAAAAATGGCTTCTCAGCGGAGTGTGGCCACACTGCAATCCCTCCTCCTCCATTTCTCCATCCTGTCGGGACCTGGGGCACACAGCAGACTGACGAGTCTCTTCCAGATCCCGGGAGCAGGGACTCGCACCTCGGTGGGCCGTGTGGGATCCAGCTCCAGCACGCACGAGGCGACGGGCCCGGCCTCAACATGAGCGATCTTCAAATGCTTGAGTAGCAACCTTCGACTATACTTTCCTGATTTCATCATTCCTTCGATGTTGATCTGTTAGCATTTCCACGGGTTTTTCTTTTCCCTTTCACTTTTTACCAGAGAAATGGATATGCTGCTCTCATTAGCGTCTTTGGTACAGTAGTGATTCCAACCACACGAAACCCAGCGCTGCTGCAAAGGTTAGAGCACACCCTCTCGTGTGTGGCGAAATTCTTTTCCCAGTCCCTGCCAGGAGATACCTGGCTGCCCCAGATTGCACCGCCATAACGGTTTGAGAAATGTCATTTTGCTACAAATTGGTACATTCGATTAATTTCCTTTTGTTTTTAACTGCAATGCATTTGCTATTAGAAGTAGACTGTCTCTTTTTTCAGTTTACCTATTCTATGAGAGAGGGACAGAGAGAAAGAGGCCCCCCAAGAGCCTTTACGCCGTGATGTGCCCTGGTCCCAGCCAGCCCAGAGGGTCGAGTGTGCACACACACCTGGCCTGCTCGAGGGAGTCCCCAAATGTGACTCGGACCTTCTCGTGTGGGTCTAGCTGAGTTACCAGTACCTTGCCACCTGACCTATTCCCTTGATTTGGGGGATCCGGGCGGGGGGCGAGCTCCCAGGACATGAACGGCTCAAAGGGCATTTGAAAGACCTTTGCTGTCTGATGCCAGCTGCAACCCCGAGTGTGAGGCCGGGTCTGTAGGAAAGGCTGCTCCTGCGCTCACCAGCGCTGGGCCCTCTTTGCTTGGTCCTGGTACACACCCACCACAAAGCAAGCCGCCAGTGCAGTAGGTCACCACTTCCACGTCGCTGCCTCTCCTTCCAGGGGCTGCAGAGGGCCTTGGTCCCTGAAAAGCTTATTCGGTGTGTCTGTCACTAGGGGGAGCCCCTGTTCCTTGCAGGGGCGCACTTATGAGTCGAAGGGGCCTTCCACCCAGGAGAGCTCTAACCTCTCCAAGGTGCGAAGTAGTATTTTTGTTTAGCTTAGTTTTTTGGTTTTTTTAAGCGTTTCTGGTGGTTAAGGTGCTGGATTCCCACAAGCCTAACTGTCGTTTGAGTCTTGGGCCTGGCAGCTTGTTTTCTCACTTTTTCTCTGGTGAGTGCACGTGCCCTGTAGCAAATCAAACAAATAATGATAAATAACATTGCATAAAATAATGTTTTTCCTGCCTCGGGTTTTATCCGTACACACAGCACAGGGGGGCAGCAGGCCTCGGCGAGGGCAGCCAGGCCTGTCCTCCTGGCAGGGCCTCTACTCTGCAGATGGAGCTGCAG